AAAGCTTTGAAAGGTCCATCAAGTAAATGAAAACATGGTTGTATTAAAAGGCAACACCTTCTGCTCTAACCATTTTAAGCCAATATAAAAGAAAATTTGGAACTGGAAATCATGTGTTGTGAGTATGTATGGATTGTGTTAGTGTACAATAAAATGGGCATTCTGAAGTGTGCTTTTAAAGAGGAGACTCTGACCTTTAAGATGTTTTTCCTGCACTTTCTCTTTTCAAATAGGGATTTTCAAGCTTTTTTTTTTTTTTATGGTTCTTGCTGGTTCTAAGAACCATCCTAGGTCTGAGCAAAGAATTGAGGCTACAGTAGGGGGTGGAGGGAGCAGGAGGGAAGAAATCAAGTTTTGTTCCTGGCATTATGAGCTTTTCCACCCCCCAACTGTTTATCTATTCTGTACCACTCAGCTGTTCTCTGTTGCACAGAAATAAAAGTTTAGTTTAAAAAGTATGTTAGAACAAAGCTGCAGAAATTGCCTGGAATTTCCTTCATTTTCAGCCATCTGGCTTTCATTGCTTACTTCGTTCCCCTCCTCCACATACATTTACCAAATCTTTTCAACACACACTGGCCAAGCTATCCAATGCTTATAATTAATAACAGTCATACACTTTTTTTCAAGGTAGTACTTTTTGGGTTTTCTTGGGCTGCTCATGACATTGCTATTATAAACCAATGAGATAGTTAGTGAACTTAATTATTAAGACTTAGCTCAATAAAAACAAAATCTAATTAAATTTAAGTCTTTGAATTTTTTTAAATCATGCTTTTTGTTAAATTACAAGCATTTCTCACTAAAAAATTAAAGAAGACAATGCAGTTTTCTAGATGATTACTACAATCCTTTAAAAATGAGGAAAATGAGGATCCAAAAGGATTCTTGAAAGGTAGATAGCTAAAAGTGACAGAGCAGGCTTTGATCAAAGACCTCCCAGTCCCTTTATTTTGAGGGCCCCAAGGATGTAAAAGATCTTTAGTGCATGTTATGAAGTGAAAAAGAAAAAAAACAGAGTTGCTTAACAGTTTATGCAATAAAATCTCATTTATAATGGGAAAAATATATTTCTGTATGTTCATAAAAGTATATAAATTCTTAAAATTTTATTTATTATATTATTGTGTGCTGGGGGTACACTGTGACATTTATTACAAAAGTGCTTTGTATATAAATCCATAGATAAAATTTGTAGCACACTATCAGCAGTGGTTACATCTAGGGGGCAGAAGAAGGGATAGAACCATAGATTAAGATGATGAAAGGAGAGTATACACCTTTATTTACTGATTACTTTTGCTGTGCTTGAGTTTTAAAGAATGGGACTCTTCATGTATTACTTTCATAATTAGAACACTTAGCAAACTTTTTATTGTGGACAGGAGACTGGCTTCTTTCCTAATGATAGGTCTTAATTCCTTTTTGGTTAGTTTTCCCTTGAGTTTATCTAATTCACTACTGAAGAGTTGGCAAAGAATGTGACTTCTAGACCCAAGCTACTTAGTGGTGAAGTTATACAAAAAATGTTTCTTCTTCCAATGATAACTTCTTTGCTATCAGCTTCAAGGGAACAGTCTCATTGGTGGCTCCCAAGCATAAACACTGAAAATTTCTCATGGCCAATTTTGGGTAAGATTGCAAACGGGTCAACATGTGTCCTCCATACACTATCTCCCATCCTTCCTGACAATCAAACTCCTTCCTGGGTTATGCTTACTATTCACTCAACCTCCATCTGTCCCTCTCCCTTCCTTCAAAGCTTGTCTTTGGACCTTTACTTTCGGGATAGTTTGCTTTATAAGGCTGATAACATAAAGGGTTATAATCCTAAAGTAACTTGCATTTTGACTTGGTATTTAAGGCCTTAAGCTTAACAAAAGAATTCTAATAATGGCCTTCTCAGCATCACCTGGAAGATGGCAAGAGACGGTAAAGAGCATAGAGAAGAGAACATTGAGGTCTTTCAGCTATCATTAACAATGTGCCTAACTATCACTACTTATAAATATGGCCCTAGTATTTCATATATATTTGTTAAATAAATATTTAATAAGCAACTGCTCTGTGTCAATTTCTATATGCCAGGCATGTACAGAGGTAGATCAAGACATAAACTGGTAGGAAGGAATTTAAAATCTAGTCTTCTTTAGTGGAGAACTTTTTTTTAATAATGTGCCCTAAAAAATAGAAGAATCACCACATGCCCCTACACACACACACACACACACACACACACACACACACACACACACACACACACACATACACTCTCTCTCTCTCTCTCTCTCTCCATCCTGAAAGCACAGCCTTCCTAATGTGGATGCCCAGGTAGTTTGCAAACCTGGCGAAATTCAGACACGTGCTTCTGATACAAGCTGTGCTTCACACTGAATAGGTCAGGAAGAACCAAGTTTAGTCTCAGAAAGGCTGTCCCAAAGGATATGACTTGCCCTGTCAGGTCTTTGGTATGTTTTGTGTGATTGGGTAACTGACCACATGCAAGAAGTGGTCAGTTCTTATTGGTGTTTAGTAGGCCTGACAACTGCTGGGAAAGTGACATAACTCAGGGTGCCTTACAGAGACCAAAGCCAAGACTTGCAACATTTCTGCATGTCCCACATATAGGCTAGGTTTTTCTTTTTTCCATTTTAAAGCACCTAGATGTCAACAAACCTAAGAGACCAAGAGACTGTGTATAGAAAGGTGGGGCCCCTCAGAAGATGAGAAAACTGATCCATGCAGAACAAGACCTGTGAACTAAAGATGTAATGACTCCCAACTGGACAGAAGATGGATGGGAAAACAGAACACTCTTGTGCCCCTACCAATCACATTTACCCTTCTACTGTATGCATCTTATACCCAGGAGAGGGAAGGAGAGATTTTTCCTGACATTAGAGTGAAATATTCCACAGGAGAGCACTGCTATACATGTCTCACTTTTCAGTTGAAAATCTACATTGGCTCTTGGATGAAAGATGAAGAGAGTGAATCATATGAGGTCACTGTACTTTGGCCCCCTTTATTGTTTTAATTAGTACGATTCTACAAATGTTCAACTGTGTATGGTCAACCCAAGAAATTCCTGGCTGTGAGAGATTTTCCTGTCAATAGATACTTGGCTGGTGGGAAATCAAAGAACTGAGTTTATCCAGAGTAAATTCAGTGCTGTTAAGCCCAATAATGATCTTTGTGTGAGTCAATAAAAAGGTCCTAGAGTGATTTTAGGCTTCTCTAATTTGCCCATAGTTAGCATTTTGGGGATGGGCAATATCAGCCTTTGTTACACTCTTTATGCTGCTCAAGAGAGAATGGGTTTAGTGGCCACAGATCTTAGCAGATTGCCAGTAGGCTCAAGTATTGACTCCTTGGTATTGCCTCTGCTCAGCATAACATGTGGATGCTGCTACAACACTGTAACATTAGCAAGGTTCTTCTTATTTTTCAAGGGAACCCAAATGATACCAATTATCAGCACAAAGAAGTAGTTGTGGCCATCTGATGCTTCTGTCTACTGAATAGTGGAGCAGGACATGGTGACCTCAGAACATCTTGTACAATCAGGTCATCCTGCAGATGTAGAGACAGAGAGCAGTCACCGTGCTCAAGGTCAGCCAGTTCCCAGCTAGTTGGTGACAGAGGTAGGATGAGAAGGCAGGCCCCCTGATCTTCTAACTAAGGGCCTTGCAGGCTGTCCATGCTGAATCTATTCTGCTTCTTCTTATATGACCTGTGGTCAGATAGAGTTTTCACCCTTTGCCCTTATACTTAGATATAGGCTCACCCAACTGGAGAGCTGGGAAGTTAGGATGGATGTGAAGGATCAGGTGTGACAGGATAGTCTATGTAGGTTCTTTGCGCTGGATCTGAATTTTACTTGGTCTAGACCTTGACTCTATTCTACTGGCTGCTGTTCTTATGAGTGGAGTGCTGCTCCAAGAAGTGGCTGACTGCTTTTCTGGTTGCCTAGGAAAATGTGGCACTAGTAGCCACATCTTTGCTTCTGTACTGGAAAGGGAAAACCCAGGCCCACTATTTAGATCAATATACCACACTACTCTAGTGGCAAGTAGAAGTGTCACTGTGGAATTGTCTCTCCATCTGATTTGAGAAAGTTCTAAGTCCCAAAGAAAGGAATTTAGCTGGCTCAGAAAGAAGACATGCAGCACTATTGTTAATGCCTGAAAGCAATACACTGTTTCTTATAGGCTTTGCAGAAAGAGGAGAGAGATCATTCAGAAACAGCATTCCTTTCATATCTAGGATGTGACCTTATTCTATAACATTCATCATCCCCATCAGCAGATTTGAGTCTGGCTTTTGGTTCTTTAAACTCTCCTTTCCAAACCAGAATCATAGATGAGGTCCGCTCAGAAAGAAGTATCTCAAAAGCAAATTTCTTGAGAAACCATAAAATTATATGAACTGAAGCAGTGATTGTATTGATTAAGACTCAAGGTTGGGCAAAAAATGAGACCCAGACAGGGCTGAACACTGAAATGCTCTAATTGATTTTATGCATGTGGAATGATACCGCCCCCAAGCATGCTATAATGAATCTGCATGCTGTGTGCATACAGATTTCACAGCAGGTCAATTATACCACCCAGATGCTTCAGTTCCTTATACCCTGTCATTCACAAGTCAGTTCATTACTGTGGTGTGAGGGCTTGGGTCACAGGCTAGAGAGTGGCAGAGACCATGAAGTCTGTGGTCAGTTTATTTTCCCTTTAGGGGAAAGCAATAGTGTGGCACGTGTACATACCATCCATGCCATAAGCTCGCTTCAGTGCATAGAGCCCTCTGGACTCTGTATGACCATTGACTGGGCTAGAATTCCAAAGCCCTGGTTTCAATTAAATTTAAGTGGATTTGACTAGAAGTTTGAGCTGATGCTAATTGGTTTTCAAAACACTGGGTAACAATAAGCGTTCCAGTCTTGCCTATGGAGAGATGCACCCAGTTCTGGCTGGCAGGGTAGGCAAAACATCACTTACCTTGCTGGGCAGGGGTCCAGATTACAGGATTTCAGGAGCTGTGGGGGCCGGCGGCTGGTCACGCACAGGTTCTCACCAGCACGTTCCTGGGTCTGTTTGTTCAGGCAGCTCACCACAGCCTCCTGGACACCTGTGTACAAATCACACTGTCAGGCCAGAGTGCAGAGTGGGCATGGGGGCGGGTGATGAAATGTAGACAAGGCAGCTGGTGGGAGGTCTCTGTGATTGGTAGGACTCTTGCTGCCTGTGAGGAGCTGTAGCTTAAAGCCTAGGACTGCCAATCTTGTCAAGAATCACTTGATCTAGGGCTGGGATTGCAGTTCAGTGGTAATGTGCTTGCTTAGCATGTGCAAGGCACTGGTTTTCAATCTCCAGCACCACAAAGAAAAAAACAAAAGCAATGTTCAGTATGAAAGGAGGTACTCAGAAGTTTGTGGCCTGTATAAGTTTAGCCCTTGAAGAAGGCGACTCTCTCAAAAGACAGGTTGCTGCCAATACCGTTGAGATGCTTTTTAAAAATGCCACCAAACTATATAGCCGCTGATTGTGAAATGTGATAATTTAATACAGAAAGAGTATAGGGTGATAAGGTGACAAAGCAAACAAACAAAAAACAACCCCAGGGTCCTAAGACATTCACATGCTATATTTTAATCAACAGGAGACTGTTGTATTTGGAAGGGAGGACTGAGGCCATGTTTTAAGATCCAACATTCTGTAAACTGCTGTTCTCTTGGGGCCTTGCATTCAGGATTCCAGCCTTGGCTGGTTTCCTTTCGATTCTGATTCATTTCTTTAGTGACTTAGGGAAACTTTGGAAGTTGGAACAAAGAGAATAAGATGCATAATAAATATGACCATAGAAACAATGCTTCCACAGACACATGCACACCCTAGATTTATGAATAGCAAGACAGGACTTTGAGCAGTGGTTGGCACAGGGTTACATGGCAGGTTTTTCAAGGTGGTCTTCTTGTGAAGACTTTCATGGAGCAGGGAAGAAAGTGGGTCATGTATTGACCAGACATTTCATTCTGCTGCCTATCGTAAGAACAGTAACTAACACCCACAGAGTACCTATCAGCAGCCAGGTACCACAGCTAAGTGCTTGGCATACATCACTCAATTCTCGCAACAATTTCACAAGGTTATCCCCATTTTACAGAAATAGAAACTGAGACTTAGAAGGTAAAAAAGACATGCCTGGGGTCATGCAGTTACTAAATGGTGAAGCTGAGGGTAGCTGTGCACTTACTGACAGTATTAGCATTTAAAAATACTAAGAGGCTGTCCTCTCTGTTCCCCTGGAGAGCTTCAGAAATAACCCAGACATTTGTCTGGAATCATTTCAGCAGAGTTCAGTTTAAGGGAGGAGGCGAGACAAGACATTCTTGCTAATTTGCTTTCAGCCATACATAGTTATGTATATAAAGATACCTCCATCTAAAGATATCTATAGTTATATATTCATACATAGTTATAGCAGTCTGTGACTATCCATGTAGTTAAGCATATAAATACACACACATTCTTTTTATTTTCTGCATTTCTTCATTGAATACTATCTAACAACTTGCCCACTGTTTTTTTTCTCATTGCTGCCTTCCTCCTATCTACCCTGTTGCTCCAGCAAGTTCTCCCTGTACTCCACAGGAGGATACTTCCTTATGCCAGTGCAATGCTGACCTAGGCCACTCAGCAGTAGCATTATTTAAAAAGCAACATTCTAAAGCTGCAATTCAAATCGACTGACTTTCTTTATTCTGAGTCTGATAAATCAAACATTTTTGTTTTAATCAATCACAGGTCATGATTGGGTCATGACGTTTTTCTTAACTTTTCGTGGGTTTTGTTTTGGAGTCAGGGTCTTGCCCTGTAGCCCAGTTTGGTCTTGAAGTTGCGATTCCCTTAATGTTAGCCTCCCAAGTACTGGGATTGCAGTGTGCCCTATCATACCCAGCTTACATTTTCTTTTTCCCAAGTTTTTTACAGCTTCCCAATTTAATTGACAAATACGACAGCCAGTTTGGGGTGTAGTATTTGAGGTTTATATTGGATATTCATATGACTTCATCATGCTTTATACCGGAACAATCTCCCAGTTGCAACTAGATGAACCACTGGAAATTCATGTTATGACGATACAGCAAAAGGTTCACAAGAAATTGTTGATATCATCTGTGACTTCTCCCTGAAATTGTCTGGCATTACTTAGGTCATGGTGACATGCCACTGGATGTACCTTACTGCTCCACACAGAATCTTGAGCTGTGGTCATGTTAGAAATACCATTTTCTATCATTTGCCTACTTAGTAGTATTTAAGAGATTCTAAATGATGTTCTAAGATAAGGTATACTTTGACTTTATTCAGCTGTTGAAAACCTTTTGAAGTTGGGTTGAAGATCTGAGGTAGGAAGTAACCATAGGACTTGTTACATGTCTTACTCAAAAGTGCTTGCTATGGTGTGTGAGGGATGTAACCTGTTTCAAGTCTTTAGATCTATGATTGCAAGAAATGGAGTATTAAGGGTTAAATTTCCAATAGAACATCAGTAATCTCCTCTCTTAGATGTCAAAAATACAAATTTAGGGGCCAGAAGTGGTGGCCAACACCTGTAACACCAGCTGTTTTGGAGACAGAAATCAGGAGGAATCCTGATCCAAGGCTGGCCCAGGCAAAAAATTCAAGTCCCTATCTGAAAAATAACCTAAAGCAAAAAATGGTGTAGCTCATATGGTAGAGGGCCTGCCCAGCAAATGTGAGGTCCTGAGTTCAAACTCCAGTACCACCTAAAAAAGAAAATACAAATTTACATTACTACCGAGCATTAATCATAGCCAAAGATCAAAATCACCTGAGATTAAGAAGCATTGGCAGAATTACTGAATTCTAATGTAGGGTATTATAAGCCAACTATCCTTAGGCTCTGCAGCACTGTAGTTGTCTCTGTTGTGATGGGACACTTCTTAGGTGGATGTTGGGTGGTGGGGGAAACCCAAAGCAGAAGTAGGAGTGTCTGGGCCTAGTCATGTGGTCAACAGCAAATTTTCCTAGGATGAACAAATGCAGTGGCTAAAGGGCAGGGCACTCTAAGCATAGGAGGAAATTCAAGCTCAAGGAAGGTGCAAATGGGGTGCCTGGAAGAAGGGACCCTGGAGCAAGAAGCTGCCTGGAGTGGGGAGTCTGGTTAGAACTGGGAGGACTTGGCCTTTGGGTTCACCAGATGCCTGGTGCCGGGGAGGCAGGCAAAGGTGTGAGACAGACATTAGCTCACCTAGTTAGTGCTCTTTCCAGAAAGGCTAACAATGATCTCCAACTGACATTTTAAACCAACAGAGAACCCATGTTTAAGCACAGTGTGTTTTGATTCTGGGTTTTCCTTTACAGACAGAAGTAAAAGGAGAGAGGACTCCTGAGGAAAAGGGTACAAGACTTCACCTTCCATTTTTGTTGAAGTCAGCTTCAAGTGTTCCCTCAGCTAGATTTTAATGTGGGTTTTAGCATCTAGAAGTTCAATATCTGAATGCCACTCAGGTTCAAAACTGCTTCCCTTGGCCATACCTATCAATTCACATATGGAAATTAAAATACAACAAGGAGGTGATAGTGAGACCCAGACTACAGATCTGAGCAGGTTGGGCTCACTTTCAATCTTCCAGAAAATGGGATTTTCTGTGTTTATATCTCCCAGAGTAGCATAATTGTTACATGATATTTGATGACAGCTCAGAGAAACGCAGCCACCAAGTACAGACTAAATTGCTAACTAGTTCCTTCTGGTTGCTACCTCAGGTAGGTGAGAGGTTACTTTTGTGTCTATCCAATTTCATTTCATGACATTATAGAAACAATAAAATTAGTCTGACCAGCTCTGCAACCCAAAATTGATTTACAATCTATTTGGTAATTCTGTGTGTTTTTGATTGGTTTCAGCAAGAACGATTTAAAAAAAAAAAATATATATATATATATAAAATCTTGTGGGTTATATTTTGGTGAAAGATCAAAGTTGATAATACCACAAAATGTTACTGCCAAACAATGCCTTGAAAATATACAAGTCCCCTACATTGAAATGATTTGTTAGTGCATATGGGCATCATATGGATCATATAACCCAAGTATATTTTCGCCACTTTGGAATTTTCAACTCTAACATTTTAGGTGTTAATATATTACCTTGGCACAGTGACATGACTATGCTCAGTTGTTGACATTTGAAGGCCTAATAATTTCTAGTAACATTGCTCTCCCTTGGACATAAAGGATGAGCAATTTATGTCCTATAAAGATACTCAATCCCTACAGGTAGGGATCAATTGTATATCAAACATCCAAATCTTATTTCTAAATCAGTTTCTTCTGAGAACACTTAAAGTTAATATGGTCCACATACATTCTAGACTTTCAATTTTAAAGTCCTCGTTGGTCAGTAGAATGGTTAGACTTCAAGATAAAGGTATCTGGTTATTTATATATATCCTATTACTCCATCTATTTTTTCCACCTGCTCATAAAATTTCAGGCTTAACTTGTAACTGGGAACTATAAATGAGAGTCCAGAAATGATTTTTTTTCAAAACATATTGTTTTTGACTAGAAATAATGGTCATTCAATTTTGTGATCATGGAAACTGGGGATAAAAACACAACCACTTGAATTCTGAGTCATTAATTATATTAAAAAGAAAGAAATGGGTATGGTGGCACGTGCCTGTCATACCAGCACTTTGGAGGTTGAGAAGGAACACCAGTTTGAGGGCAGCATGGGCTACACAGTGAGAGCCTGTTTCAAAACCAAAACAAAACAAAAACAGAACAAAGAACAAAAAACCAAACCAAAACACAAAGCAACTGCAGCCACCAGCTACATACAGCCCCCTCCATCCCCTTCCCACCTCTCAGCCCTGGCAGGGCTCGGAGATCACCAAAGCTTATTTAACACTTCTCCCTCGTTAGGCAGAAAAGAAATCTATCAGTCCTCAAAGCAAGTGAAGAGCACCACGTGAATACAGCTACACTAGTTGAGGTCCAAGAAGCTGTCTTCCAGAATCATTTGGAAGAGTTTAGGTTTTAACATTCCAGGGCTCTCTATTAAAACACTTCCCAAATCCAGGGCTTGAAATTGGAAGATGTGGAAACAAACAAGAGCCTCAAGGTCAGAACTGTCAAATGCATGAAAAGACCTGGCGGAGAAAATGGAGTCTTTGTTAGCTCGCACTGGTCTACTACTCATTCCTTTTCAGCTGCGTGCGAGCAATGTGGTACCTTTACTCCCACATTCTCCGTCATGACCAAAGATGCCTTTCCAAAGTTCCCCGAGTGTCATGGTTTAGAAAACCATTTGGGGAAACAATTTCAGTACTTCCTTCTCCCTGGTTAAGTAAGAAACGTGGCTGGAAATGTGGAACTTCCACATGCCCAAAGGGGTTACTGTTGACCAGTGCGAATTTGGCAAGGAATCAGTCAGTGCTTCCTCACCTGTCAACATCTCTCTTGGGACTAGAGGTGGGACACAGGGACAATATGAATCTAATCTATCTAATAGTAAGAAAGATTATAATCTTGAAGAATTTACTTTTTTTCTATACAATCCTGTTCGTAACACTTGAAATAATCATTGCTAATTAGCTTGGTTTACTCTTTCTAGACTGTACACAAACATCAAAACATTATATTGCACTCCATAAATACATGCAGTTACCAGTCATCAGTAAACAAAGTAATTTTAAAATCACTGAAGTTATTTTTATATCACCATATAATATACCCAAGAGCCCGGGTGATATACATGGAAATATTTGACACTAGTTAAGTAATATTTACAATGAGAAAGCTCAGGAATTTCCCATGTGCTAAAAGCAGTGAGGTACGGAAAAATTATAGACAGAGAATAGAAGCCTTGGCGTAGGCCCACTCTGTCACTCACAGCTGTGAGATCTTGGACAAGTCCCTCTGCTTCTTTGCATCTTGGTTTCCTCTGCAAACGGGGTGGTATCTGACATTCATCATTAAACTCCTTTCTAGCTTCAAGTAGACACTTTGCTGGTCCCTTTTACACATCCTTTCTCTCCCTGGAAAATCAGCTGAGTAAATTTACCTTTTCTGGGGACTGGCAGAATACTTTGGGTCTTAGTTCACACCGTATGCACTGCAGCAAGGGCACCAGTAAGACTGAATGTTGAGAAGAGAGCATCAGAATGACAACTAAAAGCAAAGGCATCCGTTGTTGGCCTCTCACAGCTGACAGTTGGGGAAATACTCAAGCCAAAAGAAATTCATCAGTGTTTCTCTGTATGCTTTAACGTTTAGAATGGCTGTCTCCCTTCCAGCTCCTGCTTAGCATTCTTGGGACAGGGCAGTCACATGGCACAGTTGCATGCAGGGAGAAAAGAGACAGGACAGGCAGGTGGCAGGGTCTAAGCCAGGGCATCCTCCTTACCTCCTCCACAGGACTCGGAGCACTTGGTGAACCCCTCATACTCCCAGTCATACAGCTCGTCAAGATCCTGCAGGCCACCCAAGAGCCGGTCTGCATCGTCTGGATTAAACTCAGGCATCTCCCCGTTGCAGGGTCCTGCGTAACAGGCACGCTGGGATGCTGGCTTGGCTCCTTCGCACTCATCAACAGGAAGGTCAGCCACAGACTGAGAGAAAGACAGGAGCACCTGGCACCTGACTATTCGCACCTGGGTCCCCACACCACAGGTGACTGTGCAGGCTGACCAGGCCTCTGGGATGAACCTGCAGTTGGCAAGCAAACAAGAGGACAGGATGAGAAGCCCCAGGCAGGAGACCTTGGGGGTTGTGAGGGGCTGCATGGCACCTGCCTTCACCACCCAGAGCTGTCCCAGGATGTGCTCAGGGCTCCTGCACCCTGGCCTGGGATGGGAACTCCAGTTTAGTTCGTGAGCTCATTGGTCACCGATTCTGGATTGCTTGCTTTGTGAGTGTCACGTGAGCTCCCAGCTGCAAGACATTCCAGCCCCAGACCACCTGCTCACTCCGGGCTCTGCACCCACAGTGACAGTTCTTCAGAGCAGGGAAGTCGTGGGTTCTCCTTCCTCTGAATCCCAGCACTTGTGTCTCTTGTGGGACACTGGCTATTCTTGTAGCAGACTAATACTGACACTAAAGACTATAACAAAATAAGCCCTTGGAGATATTTAAGGGAGAAGTATTTTTTTTTTTAAGTCTGGATCTCATATTCTGTAACTTTCTTTCTTTTCTGCTCGATGTGGTTCCCAAGATTTATTTATATGTATAAAGGAGTTTTTTTTTTTATTTGTAAGTTTCCAAGAATGGTGCACTCTTGTTCCTCACACATTCTTTGAATTTGTCTGAACTCCAACTGTTTTTATATTATAGAGAAAGGCACACTACAAATTTAAATCCACAGCCATGTCACAGCAAACGAGAGGTTCTACAATTATGTAAGTTTGGTCAACAACCTGCTCCTCCCAGCCCCTGAAAGAAACTACACTAGTAAGAACTTGGTTTTTCTTTGAGTTTTTCCAGAACGTAGGAAAATATCCAAATTCCAAAATAGCTTTTCCTCCTCATTAATCAACCATGGCCATAACAACAATGACCTTGAGGGGGGCCCAGGGGAAAAAGCCCAGAGGGAACCACTAACATTTTCAAAAAGTTAGGATAATAATTTGGAGAAAATACTTTGGGACAATTTCTTTTTATAAATTTTTCTTTCCATGATCCTATTACTTTCCTCATAGAGAGTCATGCTGAGGAGGCATGCAAACCTGGCTCCTTAACCTTGACTTTGGCAGGAAAGAACTGATAAGAAGGCTATAGTATTAGCCTGTAGTATTGTAGCAAGTGCAAATGGTTCATATCTAGTTCATGGAAACTGAAATTCTAACAGCAAACCAACCAAACTTTTCACACTGTAAGAAACATAGCAAAGAGGTTTCTTGGGCCTGAGTCTGGGCATCGTGTACAGAGCCCTCCCTTAAGCACACACTTGCTCTAAGGAATGGCAAGAGAATCTCCAGAAGGGCCTGCCTCTTAGAAGAGCTATCCCCTAAGAGAGAACAAAGGTCACCGTGCAGCCCTGTCAGATAGATGCATAGGGATAGGGCGACCACCTAGAATTATTCCCCCGAGTTTTTCATCATGATTTCGTCTCCCACTCTTGTTTTTGACTCTTTTTTTTTTTTTTTGGTAATGGGGTTTGAACTCAGGGCCTTGCACTAGCTAGGCAGGCACTCTACCACTTGAACCATCCCCCTAACTCTTTTTGCTTTAGTTATATTTCAGATAAGGTCTTGTGTTTTTGCCAAGGGCCAGCCTTGAGTCACTATTCTCCTACCTATGACTCTCAAGTAGCTGGAATTACAGAAGTGCCCATTATGCCTGGCTTCCTTGTTGTGATGAGGGTCTCACTAACTTTTTGCCTAAGTTGACCTTAAACCATGGCCTTTCCAATCTCTGCTCTGAGTACCCGGGATTCCAGCTATGCCCAGCTATTGACTTCTTTATCTTTTGGCATATAGAGAATTTAGGAAGAAACAGTATCCTAAAAAGATTTAAAAGTCTTTTCTTTTTAAATAAGTTGCTCGCAGGAGCCATCTTGGAATATAAAACCAAAATGTACAACCAAAACCACTTTAACTCTCTTATTACACATGCTCAGCCACCTGCCTGGCTCCTGGAACAAGAATCATGACAAACACACAAGCACTGAATTTTACCACACTGGTGTAGACATAAAGGAAAATGCATATTAAGCTACTTTGAATGTAAGAAAGACGTGAAAGCAAACAATTTGCTTGCTTACTTTGACAACAGTGTAGTGAATAATGCTTCTTTAAGACTGTGCACTAAATTTTGTTTTTGAATGAAAAAGCTGGCAAGATCTCAAAAAGAAGTGAGTCTGTTCAATTTTCCTATGCAGTGAAGATTACTGTTGTGTCACCTATCAGAGCCCTCTGCAGTGACTATCATAACAGAACAAGGGCCAGCAAGCCTTTTCTGTGAAGAGCCAGCTAGGAGATATTTTGGATTTTGCAGACCAGGTAGTCTCTGTTGCAACTATTCAGTGCTGCATTGTTATGTAAAATAAACAAACAAAGGAGTAAGGCTGGGCTCTAATAAAATTATTAGGGCAGTGGGGATGGGATGGTGATGAAAGGGTATGGATTTGGCTTGTGGGCTGTAATTTTCCAACCCCAGCTATAGGATAGAACATTTGGTCAAGATGCCAAAAACACTGAGGTTCATAGGTAATCACTTCCCACACAGGTAAGCAAGTAGAATGGTGTATAGCCAATTTGACTGGTTTGTGTTTTATCTCCTAAGATGAACCCCAGACAAAATCTAGAATGTAAATGATGTACACACTGGACCCTCGGTTCTCCTTGCTCCAACATGATTGACTTTACGCTTGGGCTCTTTCTAACACCATGACCATACACCCAAAGCTCACAAAATAGAAAAGATATGCTTGCTCCCTGACACCCTACAACTATTGCAACCGTTGAAACACATTTATCACAAGGCAGTATGTCTACATGAGAAAAATGTGTATGTGTGCATGGGAATTTTTTTTTGGTGGTACTGAGGTTTTGAACTCAGGACCTCATGCTTGCTAGGCAGGTGTTCTACCACTTGAGGCACTCTGCCAGCCTATTATTTAGTTTTTTAATTACTATTGTTCTGGGGGTACACTGTAGTATTTGCAAAAGTTCTTATACTATATAATATGTATCATAGTTAAATTCACCCCCTCTATCATTCTCCTTTATCTCTCTTCCCCTATTCCTGGAATAGTTTCAACAGGTTTCATTTTTCCACTTACATGTGTACACAGTATTTGCACCATACTCACCCTCCTACACTCTTTCCCCTCATCCTCCCTCCTCCCACTGGTTCCAGCTTCCCAGATAGGACCCATTCTGCCCTCCTGTTCTCCAATTTTGTTTTAAAAAGATGACATTTTTGTTTGTTTAAGATTGCTATATAGGGAGTTTCCTTGAGACATTTCCGTGTATTGGGTATTTTTGAGATAGGGTTTCTTGAACTGTTTGCCTGGGCTGATAGTGATCAAACTGTAATCCTCCTGATCTCTGTCTCCCGAGTAGCTAGGATTATAGGCATGAGCCACCAGTGCCAGGTGTGTTTGAATTTTTAACTATCTAGACACTTAGGGTTAATAGCAAAAATAAATAAATAAGCATCTGCTCTCTTTCTCCCAATGAGAGTCTTATCAAATGCAAAACAGCCTGGCTGGCCTGTCTCCCAACCCATTATCCGTGGGTCTTCATCAGGTTCACACCAATTAAAAACAATTTGGATTTTAAGTGGTGTTGTCTCTTGGCAGTCAGCTTCATTTCTCCAGTGCATACCCTGTGTGATATAATATATTCTTCTCTCGTTGATGGCAGAAGATTAGATTTCAAAAGAAAAATATCTGATCGTGCAAATGGCTAAATGAATAATAACCGTTTTTCTTATGAAGCTTTTCCCCACATCTCTAGATCTTCCAACCCTGTATTTACTGTCTTGAGTTTTCTGGCCACAAGTGGGAGGAAGCGAGGTCGCCGAGAGGGCAGGCAAGTTCGGAGGCTTAAATAGAAGTCTCATCTTTAATAGCATTTGCTGACCCAGAGTCTTTAAAGTGGGTCCTATAAAACCGAGTGCAATCATTTTTGTTTTGTTTTCTTAAATCAGTATATTAATCATTTTGATGTGTAAATATACAATAAAAGTTCTTATTATGGAAGTTTAACTTGGGTAATTTAAAAGTTCTTTTTTGTTAGCAGCAGTATTGCCAGATGAATCAAGATATATGACTGGTCAAGTGAATTCTTTAAAAAATGGATGTAAACCTTAGAGTGATGACATGATTTCTACATATAGTTTTTCTATCTTTAGGAAATCAAAAAAAAAAAAGACATCTGGCAAGTGAATGATCTATGCTTTGGCTGGTCTTCTATTTTCAAGTTTAATTGTTCATTTTATTAACAAAAAGCTTATGCTTTAATTAAAGTTATTACCAGTCTCTTTTATGAAATAGAAAACAGTGACAGTCAAATTCACTTGTAAAATCCCTCGTTTAGTTTAATTGTGACTATTTTAGAGTCAGAAGTATGCACTGAAATAATAAAAGTAATCACTTTATTAATACACTGCTAAATAGAAACAATATACTCTTGGTTAATTAATCTTATAACATCACAGACATTAGCTGGAGTGGGGCTAGAGTTTTATGGGCACATGGTCTGTAACTAACATGCTGACTTTCCCTGTCTCCTGTTATTTTCCTCTTCCATATACATGTCTGTTTTAAAAAATATTATTGGGATTATTCAAAATAAGAAAAGCTTTACAGGTGTGTTATTTGATGCTGTCACTAGTCTCATGCTCAAGTTTCAAAACACAAATTGAAATTGGCAGGGAATCAATCATATTAGAAGTACTTAATTTAGCTGGGCACCAGTGAGTCATGCCTGTAATCCTGGCTATTTGAGAGGCTGAGATTAGGAGGTTCACTGCTGTTTGAGGCCAGCCTGGGCAAATAGTTTGAGAGATCCCATCTTCAAAATAACCATAACAAAATAGGCTGTAGGTGTGGCTCAAGAAGTAAAGGTCTGCTTTGCAAGCATGAAGCTCTGGGTTCAAACCCTAGTTTTGCAAAAAGAAAAAGACTCAATTTTGGTAGTCGTACATTTTTGAGCTATGGATCTATAGGGATTGTAGATTTCTCTTTACCTCTTTCTTTTAGTATATGTTTACATATGAAAATAATGTCATGATAGCACAGTGAGGAGAGAGAGGTAGTAATACATTGAATAGTTGGGGG